ACAGAACCCTGCCCCCTCACCTCTAAACTCCGTGCGCGCACATGCGTGTTGGCTTCCTGGCAGGGTTTTCTGTGCAGGGCGCTCATCTCATCCCTTCGAATGGGTTGGCGGGAGAAAGCATGACTCTGCGCAGTGAGCTGTGGGTCGTGGGAAGGCCGCTGGGCCAGATTGGCTTTTGTTTTTTAATTTTTTTTTCTTTATTGACTTTAGAGAGAGAAGAAGGGAAAGAGAGAGAGAGAGACAGAAGCATAAATGAGAGAGAACATTGATCAGCTGCCTCCTGCATACCCCCCACTGGGGATCAGTCCCACAACCTGGGCATGTGCCCTGACCGAGAATCGAACCAGCGACCTCTTGGTGTAGGGGTCACCGCTCAACCACTGAGCCACACCGGCCGGGCCTCTGGGTTGGATTTGGAAGAGATAGGGTCTTTTTGTTTGTTTTTTGTTCATCCTCACCCAAAGATATGTTTTCCATTGATTCTTAGAGAGAGTGGAGGAAGAGAGGGAGAGAGAGGGATGTGAAAGAGACACATCAGTTGTTTGCCTCCTGCATGCGCCCCAACCAGAGCCTGGGGTCGGACTTGCAATCCAGGGACGTGCCCTTGACCAGGAATTGAACCCGCAGCCCTTCAGTCTGCAGACCGATGCTCTAACCACTGAGCAACCCCCGCCAGGCCAAGAAATAGGGTTTTCTCTATGGCCTCGGTGACTCAGATCCCCGTGTTCTGAGTCCCTCCCACATCAAAGCTTCTTGGGTCTGGATCATTAATGCAAACCAGAGTTAAAGATATATTTGAACGAGGGGGAGGTGGGGGAGTGAGCTCTTTTTAGGAGAACAGCTTTCACAATTCTGTAAATAAAAGCTGATAGACCTAGTTTGGTTTTTTCCAGAAACTTTATTCCCAAGCAATTTATTTTAAGTTCCTATTTTAAATTTGTCTTTGGCAAAAGAAAAATAAAGGCAGTCAACTACTTTCTGTTCTGTAGGAGGAAAATCTCAAACTTTGGGTGGTCCCAGAGAGACACAGGGCTGAGTCCTGATCAAGAAGCTTCTAGCCCTGGCCGCTTTAGCTCAGCGGTTGGAGCGTTGGTCTGTGGACCAGAGAGTACCGGGTTCGGTTCCTGCTAGGGCCATGTACCAAAAAAAAGATACTAGAAGGACCCTGGCTGGTTTTACTCAGCGGTTAGAGCATCGGCCTGCAGTCCACAGAGACCCAGGTTCGGTTCCCGCTAAGGGCACGTACCTCGGCTGCAGTTTGGCCCTGGCCCTGGATGGATTGTGCGGGTGGCAGCCACTCGATGTGGCCCTTTCACGTCGATGTTTCTCTCTCTTTCTCCCTCCTGCTCTATCTGAATAAAAAATGGAAAAATGTCCTCAGGTGAGGATAAAAAAAAAAAGAAGCTTCAAATTTGTTTGCAAGAAGATAAATTTGTGTTTAAGACCTCAGCTAGATCAATGTGAAGAGGTTCCCACTGACCTAGGCTGAGACAGCTTGAACATTGGAAAATGATAATTGCCATGGATGAAAACACTTTAAATATAAATACACGCGATCATCATGGTACACAAGAATGATGATGATGATGATGATGATGATGTTACATGAGATAATGATGACGACAGCAAGCCAGAAAACTCATTGATCACTATTGGGGTTGCTGGAATCAACTCTATCTACCTATCTATCTATCTTTCTATCTATCTATTATCTGTCTTTGAATCCTCACCCAAGGATACGTTTTATTGATTTGAGAGAGAGAAACATCGATTGTTGTCTCCTTCATGACCATTGGGTGAACCCACAACCTTTTGGTGTACGGGACAACGCTCCAGCCAACTGAGCCACAAGCCAGGGCTCAACACTTTTATTTTAAAGATGTATAAGGCCCTGGCCGGTTTGGTTCAGCGGTTAGAGCGTTGACCTGCGGTCCTGAGAGACCTGGGTTCGGTTCCCGCTAAGGGCGCGTACCTCGGTTGCAGTTTGTCCCCGGCCCTGGTTGGTCGTGCGGGTGGCAGCCACTCGATGTGTCCCTTTCACATCGATGTTTCTCTCTCTCTCTCTCTGTTCCTCTCTCTCCCTCCCACTCTACCTGAACAAAAAATGGAAAAATGTCCTTGGGTGAGGATAAAAAAAAACAAAGATGTATAAGGGAAATCATTTTTCTAAAATGTAACCTACACGCGTCGAGAAGCCCAGAGGGAGGGACAGGAGGGAGTTGGTTCATACCGCGGCTGGAACGTGAAGCCGTCTGCTGTCGTCTGGCTAGGCTGGCCAGCTACCCGTGAAGAAAGGCAGGTTCCTCTCCCACAGGGGGCCGGGGCTGGGAGGCAGCCTGCAGCGTGAACAGAGGGCGGATTGGCCCCTGTCCCGTCTCTTACCAACTGTGTGATCTTGGGAAAATCATCTGACCCCACTGAGCTCCACTTTATTCGAAAGACAGTGGGGATGGCAATGGCCATACCTCGTAGGGTGATCAGGTTAAATGAACGTAAGGCGTAAGGCCACCTAACAGGCATGCCAGCGCGAATTCCTTCCCTTGCCCTCTGGACTTCACTCAGAGCAGCTGTGCGGGTCCAGGCACCTCTCGAAGGGCTCCATGCAGCTCCCAGGGCCACCGTGACCTCTGCACATCTGCTCTGCTCTCCCAGGGGGATGACATCACCAGACGTCTGCTTGTGGCTGTCGCTCTCTTCTAAAACCGCGCTGGAATTGCCCCCATCTTGACCACCAGTGTCGAAATAACAGCATGTGGTTTGAAAGGAACTGCCCGCCCTGGCTGACCACAGGTTCTAGGATTCGAAGTCGAGCGACATGGAAGGGAGGACGGATCTGTCTCTGAGACGGAACTTGCAAGTGCAAAGTGTGGGTCCCTTGGTTCGGGCAAGGCGAGCGGTGTTTAGGGACGAGACACACCCCCGTGTAGCAGAGCCGGGGAGAAATGGCTGCAGGGTTGGACAGCCTGGGTTTGCACCTGCCTGGCCACATTCTTTCTGGCTCCGTTTCCAGCTGAAGCTGTTTGATGTCTGAGCCCTGTTTTCCTTTGAGCATGTGAGACCTGACGCGTGGTGTAGAAAGCTGCTATGAAGCATGGGCAGAGCCTTTCTGGTCAGTAAAGGGACATCTGTGCTGCTGGGACCTCTGACCAGTGCTGCTGGGTGTGTGTGCTGAGCATGGCTGGACCCTGAGTGTTGCTCTGTTCCTTCGATTTGTACCTGAACCCAGTGGTCGCTAGCCCTCGTGGGGCCAAGACAGAGCCCCAGTGAGCCTGAAGGACTTACGAAGGTCACACCTCCCTGCAAGGGGTAGGACTGGAACCCAGGTCTTCCGAGGGCTCTTCCTGCTCTGCCCCACAGTGTCTGTGTGTGCTTCTGCTGGTTTGCTGAGTGTAGTCTTAGAAATGCGTTTAATTCATGTAGAACTCTCAGGTCCCTTTCTGGAATGTCAAAGAAATAAAAACACAGTCAAGGAAAAGGGCTTGCACAGAGAAATGATTTTCTCTTGTGTTTGTTAGATCCACGTAGGAATCCCCTAAGGCATTTAAATGCCACTGGAGGTCAAGCCCCTCCCCGGTGGGATGGGTGGGCACAGCGTTCGCGGTCAGAGGGATCTGACTGCAGGGCAGGGGCTGCCCCCCGCAAACAAACATTGCCTTCTCTGCCCCAGCTATTCGTCCCCGCCCAGGCATTGGCAGTGGCTGGCAGTGGCTTGATTTTCCGGGGGAATTAGTCGACTTCACGTTACCAGTGCGTGCCGCGTGGCCGCCTGCCGTGTCGTGGCCATGAAGCGGTTGTGTTATAGTTCTAACTGAAATGATCAAACAGTGGACATCAGCTGTCCGTGCGAACAGAAGTTGTTGTAGTACGGCTGGCTGGGTTCATGTAAAAGACCTCTTCCGATGCCCTGGCCAGGTAGCTCAGTTGCTTAGAGCGTTATCCTGATACGCCAAGGTTGCAGGTTCAAGGTCAGGGCACATCCAAGAAGTAACCAGTGATTGCATCAATAAGTGCAATAGCAGCTCCATGTTCTCTCTTTCCCTCCCTCTCTTGCTCCCTCCCCCTTCCTCTCTCTAAAATCAATTTTAAAATATAAATAAAAGTCCTCACCCAGAAGCGAGGGAATTACATTCAACTGTATTCAATTACCAGAATCACCTGTGCCTGACCCCCACCCTGTTTCTGAGCAGAGGTCTGAGCTGCGGCTCTGGCCTCTGCGGTTTGAGAAAGACCGGCGGGTGATTTCCACGTCCAGCAGGAGCTGGACCCCTGAGCTGGGGACCCAGAGGCCAGGTTTCCCTCTGCAGGGTGCTGCTGGGCGCCTGTGGACAGTACAGAGCTGTCACAGAGGTGACCAGGGTCTGCGTTTTGTATTCAAACAGCATGTGCATTGTCTTCTGTCTCAGGCACAAAGATGATTGGAACCTAGTCCCTGTCCTCTGTACATACCGGGGAATACATGCACCAAACCATTCCCGTGTAACATGCCAGGTGCTAGGACGGGCAGGTGACCCAGACAGATGCCCGCACAGGGTGCAGTCATGGAAGGCTTCCTGGAGGAAGGATGTCTGTGGGATGCACAGGAATCAGGGAAGGCAGGGCTCCTGGTGCACTGTGAGCAGAGGCATGGAGGCCCTGGGCTGACTGTGGCTGCCCAGGCCTGTGTTCCGAGGACCAGGTTCTGCCTGCATTGAAAGGGGGTACTGTGCTGTGTGGCTCTGAAGAGTCATGACTTTCACGCCTGGATGGGTGACTGTGATGTAGACCAAGGAGGAGCCCTAGGAGATGTGGACGGCGCTGGGCGGCCTTGGCCGTCTCATCTGATGAGCTGCAGGCTGGGAGGTTTTTGCCGCAGCAAAGTTATCTCAGCTCCTGGTGCACCTCGACTTTTCTCGGGTTTCTAGTTCACTGATGTGTTCCATTTTATTCACAGCCGAGAAGAAGCTGGTGGGGAGGGGCTGGCGTGGTCGGTACACTAACAGTGGTCTCTCGCTCTGCCGTAGCTCACGTGGAGAACGAGGAGCAGTACACGCAGGCGCTGGAGAAGTTTGGCGGCAACTGCGTGTGCAGGGACGACCCGGACCTGGGGAGTGCGTTCCTCAAGTTCTCCGTGTTTACCAAGGAGCTGACGGCACTTTTTAAAAACCTGGTGAGTGTCCTTTCGTCTGCGTGCCACGCTCGGGCAGATGTGAGTGCGGGAGGGGGAGAGGTAGCTCAAAGAGCCTAATTAAGGTTTGCTTGATAAGCTAGGAATGAGTTTCATAGCTCCTGTGGTCTCAGAAGGACTTAGATATTCTATACACATCAGGTCACTTCGGAATACATTTTAGGCTTGTAACATGGAACAAGACGTTTCAAATTCAGTTCGGCATTTCACATGTGCACAGCTGTGGGACAAAGTGGATGCATGCATTCATCTTTTTAAGAGCCTCTGACTTCAGTTTTTAATAGTTTTGAAACTGTGTAGAACAGTTTGTTTCTGGTAATTACAGTCGGCATTTAAACTTATAATATTTAATAAACATGTCTCAGACCCATCTTACACAGCAGTGGCGCCTGCAATCAAAGCGCAGAAATTCCATGAATATGCAAAGGCCTTTTCTTCTCCCAAATGCGGAGCCTGAAAAAAAAAATCTCAACTTTTTTTATTTAATCCTTATCCGAGGATATTTTTCCATGTATCTTCAGAGGGGGAGGGAGGGAGGGAGGGAGAGAGAGAAACGTCAGTGTGAGAGAGACACGTCAACTGGTTGCCTCCCAGATGACCCCGACCAAGGCCGGGGACCGAACTGCCACCGAGGTTCGTGCCCTTGGCTGGAATCGAACCCGCGACTCTTTGGTCCACAGGCTGACGCTCTAACTGCCGAGCCAAACTGGCCAGGGCAAAGTCTGAACTTTTAAGCAAGTGGAAGCAGGGAACATACTTCTTGCCTGTGGTGGGTGCCTGGGACGGGGTGAATGGGGTTCCCGCTTGCGCCTGGCCGCCCCAGCCGCCCTTGTCCTCGTCCTCGTGGTGGGAACGGAATTCTGAAGAACTGGGCAGCCAGCGTGGAGCTTGTGACCGCTGGGCGGGGCCTGCCCCAAGGGGAACGCCCACTGGGATCTTCCCCGCGTCTCTTTCCTGTTTTTCTCCCCCAGCTTCTCCTGAAGGTCAGGGCGACCAGACCAGGTCAAGAACTCAATAAAGCTTTCTGTGTAGGTCGCAAACAAGAGTCTTTTTCATTTCTCTTGTCAGCAAGCTCATAACAAGTGAAAAAAGAGGTCCTCGTTCTGGACATGGTGATGGTGGCGGGTTTGGGAGTCTGGCCTTGGCGGCCACAAGGGCACAGACTGTGAGTTAGTGACGGGGAGGGGAGACCAGAGCTTTCCGGCTCTCGCTCTGTCTCCCTGTCTCCACTGGTAAGATGTCCCAGTTGGCAACGGTCACGATAAAATGCCGTTGCCGGGCTTCCGTTTTTCACGTGGCTTCCTTTGAAATCTCTTGGGGCTTTTATCGGTTCATCACCTGTTTATTACAGCCCCAGACAGGCCGCCGGCACGCACCCTGAACAGCGAGCCCGGCCCCTTCCAGCCCGCTCCCTGGATGCGACAGACATGCTTGTTTGGGTCTCACCCCCGAGTCAGACTGGACAAGCCAGCTGGTCCCAGGAAGAGCTCTGTCGATGCTGGCGTGGGGGGTCTTCTCGTGAAAAGGTCCCCGAATCCCCGGCCCCTGTGCGCACAGCCAGCGGCCAGCAGCTCCTCGGTGCCCGCCTCTTAAACACGAGGGAACCGTCTCCACAGCAGGAGACCAGAGTAGAGAGAATGGGGACAGAGACAAGGAACGAGCAGAGGAAAACTCGGGAAACCACGTGTCATCCCTCAGAGAGGTCGGAGTGGACATTGTATCTGGGAGGGGAGAGTGGGGGGTAGTTTGTCATTAGAGAAAGCGGGGGGACTATTAGTGTAAGAAAATGTCAATGGGAAAGGCTGCCCTGGCCGGTTTGGCTCAGCGGTTAGAGCGTCGGCCCTTGGAACAAAGACTCGCGGGTTCGGTTGCGGTTGTCACCTGCCCTGGTTGCGGTCGTGCGGGAGGCAACCATTCTGTGTGTCTCTCTCATGTCGATGTTTTTCTCTCTTTCTCTCTCTCTCCCCCTCCCTTCCACTCTCTCTGAAGATAAATGGAAAAAATATTCCCAGGTGAGGATTAAAAACAAACAAACAAAAATTTTAAAAATATAAAATGAAAAAGCCTATGGGAAGGGTGGGAATAGAAGAAATCGCTCAGAAAATAGATCGAAAAGGCCAGAAAAGAAGACAAGGAAGTAAAACGGAGAAAAGACCAAATAAGGAGTAACTCGTAGGGTTCAGTACCCAGCTGACAGGTGTTTCAGACGAGAGACTAGAACAGGGAGGAGGGCGTTGTGGGCGCAACAGTACAAGGTGACTTCTAGAACCGCCCAGGGATCCGAGCGAGCCCCGCACAGTAAGAGGAGAGACCCACCCCAGGCATCTCTGTGAAACTGCAAGACCCTACCCGCTTCCCAGAAGCACACGGGGTCAAGCACCACGGTGGCCTTGGACTTCCCAGCAGCGCTGGACACTTGAAGGTCTGGAGCCAGGACACCGACACCCAGGGGAACATGGCCCACCCTGGAGTTATACCCAGCCGGCTGGGCACCAGGGTAGGGTGCGGGGCTCGAAGAGGTTAGCCCACACCTCATTCCTCCGCAGCACCTACAGGATGAGCTTTGGCAAAACAGAGGGGGGCCGAGAAAGAAGAAATGTGTGAGTCAGCAGAGAGCGTCCAACCCCAGGGAGCAGGGGAAGGCCCAGGAGGAGGCAGGGGAAGAGCCCAGGAGGGCGGCCCGTAGGAGGCCAGGTCTGCTCCGCACACCCTTCAGCGGATCCCCGCCTGGGTCTTCTCCGCTGCGAAGTAGAGATGGTAGCGTTATGCCTGGGTCGGTATATAGAGTGTAGCCAGTGCTTAGACACATCTGAGCTTGTGGACTCCTGTAGCAGTCCCATAAGGTGAGTCAGTGTTACCCCACTCTTCAGATGAGATAACTGTGGCTTTGGGTGGTTGAAAGAGCTCATCTCTGTCTCGTGAGAGGGCCCTGAGTCCCCCCAGCCTTCGGCTGTGTGCCGCCAGGAGAAGGGTCCCCAGTGGAATCCTGAATGAACGGCCTTGTGCGCACAGCATGAGCAGCTGTGCAGTGAGGCCAAAGCAGCCCCGTCTTTTCTTGATTTTGTGCAAAACAGAGCAGGGCAGGGCCTGGACAGTGTAGCTGTGCGTGCCCCCTGCCCCAGGCTCTGCCCCTGGGGGCATTGCAGAAGCCCCTGATGAGTGAGTCCGGCACCACCACCGAGAGCCCCCCCCCCCCCCCCCCCCCGTGCAGGAAGTGCTGGGCCGGGCGCGAGCAGGGACGTGCTGGTTCTTCTGACAGCTGTGCCAGGTGTATGACCTCCGTCTGACCCAGTCCTTAGCGACCGAGGTTCAGAGTGGGGAGTCAGATCTAGGTAGTAACACTCCAGACCCATGCCCTGTCTTTCTTTTCTTTTTTTAAAAACTCATCTTTGTTGTTGAATGTGTTACAGATGTCCCCCCATTTTACCCCATTGACCCCCCCCTCCTCCCCAATCCTGCCTCCTTCCACCCTCCCCCACCCTACTGCCGGTGTCCATTGGTTATGCATATAGGCATAGAACTTCCTTGGTTTATCTCATCCTGCCCTCGCTCCCCACTTCCCTTTGAGGTTCATCAGTCTAACAACCAGTTTGGACTTCTTGATTCCTTCATCTTCTTCACCCATCCCCCCCAGCCCCCTCCCATCTGGCAAGCAACAAACAGTTCTCTGTATCTAGGAGTCTGTTTCTGTTCTGCTTGGTCATTTTGTTTGTAGATTCCATTGGTGATAGATATGTATTCATTGTCATTTTAGTGTTCCTATTTTTGTTGTTCCTCTCCTTCAAGAAGACCCTTCCAACATTTCATGGAATACTGGTTTGGTGGTGATGAACTCCTTTAGCTTTTTCTTGTCTGGGAAACTCTTTATATGTCCATCGATTCTAAATGACAGCTTTGCAGGATGCAGTTGTAGGTCCCATGCTCTTTCTACTGTGGCATTTCAGCCCCTAGGGGGCAAAGACTGAACTCAAGGGGAGGCCTTGCGGAGAGTGCACACGAGGAGGAACGCAGATGGGCCCCTGCCGATGGGCCCTGCCGCTCTGGCCTCAGGCAGCCTGCTGGCCCCCCTTCCTTCAAAGCAAGGCTGAGAGAGCCATGAGGATAGGAGGAGTAAGCGGAAAGCCTGAGGTGACGACATGTCCGTGTCACTGTGATTTGCACACTTATTCATGACCAAGTGATCATCGCTTTTCAGTTCATGTGCATTACTTTGGTTTCAGCTTTTACTTTATGGAGTTGGGATTGTTGATCCTATTTCCTGGCAACGATCAGAGAGACAGACAGACAGACAGAGAGTCAGTGGTTGGAAGGCCAAGTGGCCGCTTCTGCAAAGCTATTGCTGGAGAATTCTCCTTTTTTGGTATTTTGTATACCATTCTTATTCCTATTTTTGGTCACATCTCTCCTGTCTCTTATTTTTAAAACTTCGCTTTTGCTTTTCCCTGGGCATTTAGAAAACCTTTCAGTTCTGTGTGGCTTAGATTCTCATTTCTACCCCTTGTCCGGAAAGAATCGTAATTACCACCCACCTGCTTCGTGATGTGAGAGAATGTTAGTAAATCGTTGGAGCGCCTCCAGAGGCCAGCTTGATAGAAAGTGAGATTTTGTTACTCGTGGGTGAGTCTCCCCATTTTTAGAAAGTCTGTGAATCTTCTCCGCGGTGAGGCAGGATTAAGGAGGAAGCGGAGCGGCTCCAGAAATGTGGCGTGTGCTCAGCCGCCAGCCGGGTCGGCCCAGTTTCTAGGTTCAGACGGATATGAGAATCGGGGGAAGACTTTCCAAGGGCCACCTCTGTGCTGTGAAGTGGCCTTTGAATGAACGAGTGGCGGCATTGAAGGGCGCGTTTCTGAGGGCCCGAGTGCAGCCGCGTAGCTTCCGGCTCTGACGGCAGACTTGGGCATGAAGTGTGCTGTCAGGGTGACTGCAGGGGCCCGCGGGTGCTGAGGTCAGGACAGACACCCCCCCCGAGGCCGGGGAGCAGC